TTAGCACTGGAGTCCTTATTGACAAAATATAATTTAAGCTTGTCAAGAGTTCATGGACAAGGATATGACAGGACAAGTAATATGCAAGGAGAGTTTAATGGTCTCAAAAGTTTGATATTGAAAGAAAATAAGTGTGTATTCTATGTTTTTTTATTTTTCTGATCAACTCCAATTGGTACTTGTAGCGGTTGCTAAAATGCATGATGACATTGCTTGGTTTTTTCTTGTAGCTAACAATTTATCTTATGTTGTTGCAGCTTTATGCAAGCGCGGAGATATTCTTAGAGAAAGCCAAATTCTTAAAGTAATGGAAGCATTAGAGAGTGAAGAAGTTTTAACTGGTTATGAATTGAATCGAGAAACTACGCTAATAAGAACTGGATATACTAGATGGGTACCACATTATGATACATTATTAAGGTTGGTTTCTTTATTTCCTTCTGTGTGTGATGTTCTAAATATGATTTTAAAAAATAACCTTAGCGCAGCGAGTTGAAACTTGTCAACTATTGAATACTTTGGAATCCTTTGAATTTATTTTTTAAGTGCATTTGATGAGAAATATATTGAGAATTACTAATGATTTGTCTTAAGTATTGTAAGGAAAAGATCAAGATATTGTAAATGCTATGATATTTGTTAAAGTATCAAAGAAAAGATTGCAAAATATGTAAGAAGATGGTTGGTCAAGTCTACTTGATGAAGTGCCATTGTTTTGTGAGAAGCATATTATTGACATTATATATATGGATGATGCCTTCATGTTGCATGAAAAACCAAGTCGTAAAGTTGAAAAATTTTCAAACTTACATCACTTTTAAGTCGAGGTCTTTTATCAAGTGATTGATAGACAACTTCAAGAGCAGAATAATATATTTATCAAGGTCAATAATGAATTGCTTATTTGTGTAGCATGTAACACCCCATATTCTTGGAATATTTATTTAATTTATTTAAATATGAATATTCACATTTTTGATGATTTTCGGTGGTTGGTGTGAATATTGGGAATTATGGATTTTGAGTTATTTATTTAAATAATAGTATATAATATGAATATATTGATATTATTATTAATTTAAATAAATATAAGTGAGTTAAGGGAAAAGTGGACATTTGAGGAGGAGTTAGTGAGAGTGAAGTTGGAAAGCCCAATTTTAAGGTCCAAAGTTAGGTTTAACAAAAAGGAATTTTGAAGGGATTAAGATTCATTCTTGTTAGTCAGTGAAAAGGGAAGAAATAGAGGCCAGCGCTTTGAGGAAGAGGATTGAGGCAAAAGCTTCACAAGGTTTCCAAGAATCAAGGAGAAATGCTTAGAGTCGACAATTAAGGTATGTGGAGTATTGCCTTCATTGTTTTCAATATGTGATTAAATGTGTTTAAAGCTGATTTAAGAGATTAGGGATTTTTGATTGAACTGTTGTTGCCTTTCTGATGGTGATTTCAATGAGTTTGAGGGATCTGAACTGATGGTCTGATAGGTTTGAGGATGATTTGAGATAAGGGAAATTAGGCCTTCGAGGCCAAAATCTATTGTTGAGGTTTTAACTGTATAGGGTAATTGACTGTGAGAACTTTAATGACTGTGAGGTATTTGTAAGAAATTATGGGAATTGGAGGCGTAAATATGATATGGGATTGGCCTAATAAGTCGTAGATTTTGTGCCTATATCGCCGTAATACCTTAGGAATGATTTTGGGATGTTTTTAGGGCATTAGAGAAGGAAATAGTAGAGGTTTTTGGTCTGGTTTTGGTGCTAGTGCATAACAACGATTTTTTGTAATCGCGAGTTCGCACGGCGAACATTCGCCCCAGACTCGCACAACGAACTTGCTAGCAAACGTAGCAGAGTTTCTCGAATTCTGACCTTGTGCAGTGATGTCTTGATGTTTTGATGTTGTGATTTCTCTAATGAAATACCATGAGTATAATCGTGATTTTTATGAGATTAATACATGACTGTATGATGAATTCTCATGAGTAATTGTGATGATTTATGATGTTGATTTCACGAGATTTTGATGATTTTATGATGACATGATTATTATGATGATTTTGATGAATGATGATGCACCTAATGATTGTATTATGAGGATGATATTGACGTATGCATCATGCATTCATATGCATTCTGGACTTCGGTCCAAGACCTTGATTCTTGTGGCTTCAGTCCATTGTGCAGATGTGAGGTATTTTGTTGTGCTTCGGTTTTCATGTAGAATCAATCCTACTGTTGTGGATCTATGGAGGGTTGATGGCCCAGTGTCCATCGAATTTTGTTAATTAGTACCACATGCATGAGTCTTGTTGTATTTGCATTTATGTGACAATTTGGTGTAATTTATAATGTTGTGGTCTTTGATGTTCCGTGATGATTCTGATGATGTTAGATGTGAAAATGACGTCATTTTATATATAGATTATTATGAATCGTTTTACTCACCCTGCCTGTTTGAATGTTGCCTCCACGTGGGTAACGTGCAGATGACTAGGTTTAGTTATGGATGTCGTCGAGGACTTTTTAAAGCTTTTGGGTCGTTGGCCATTATGGTCGACTTAGAGGGTCTTGCTCTGATAGTGTAACATCGGGTTGGGGTCTTTGAGTCAAACTATATTTTATTGAGTTTTTGTTATGTTGATTGCCTTGCGGCGCAAGAAAAACTTTGGATTATTGACTTTTTGAGTTCCGCTATCTTTTGAGTAATTTTGGGAAAACCCGTTGTTTACGGAGCATTGACTATATTTGAATTTTTGAGAAATGTGCGCCATTTTGAGATGATTTTATTGCATTTAATATTTTACTCTGATAAATATGAGCGATTTGCCATTATATTTTTGGGGTAGAAAAGGGTGTTACATAGCAAGTTTAAGTCCATGAAATTCATTTGTTGCGTTTGACAAGAAAGAATTGATTAATCTAGCTCGATTTTATCTGTCTGAATTTTCTTTAGTAGAGCTTATGGGATTCAGCAGTCAACTTGAAAACTACATCATTAATGTTTGTTCTAGGAAATTAGTGATCTTTCAAGAATGATGGTGTAGACTAAAAAACACATTGTTTATCTAATTGTGTACTTACTTTTACATCAAATACAAACCATCTATATAAACTATTTTACATCAACAACAACAACAATATCATATATATCTCATATATCATATTAACACAACAACAAATAACACAACAACAACAACAAAAACCATCATTGAAAAGATAAAAACCATCTATATCATCAGAACAACAATGGTGAAAAGATAAAAAAAACAAGAAAAGCAGAGTAAAGCTTCACGTACCGTAACAATGGTGGACCGACAATGCAGACGGATGGATGAACTTAAAAACGGACGGTGAACGGTCGGTGATGGTCGGAAGGATGATCGGACGGAAGAAGTTGATGGTCGGACGATGAACAGTGGTTCGTTCGTTCGTTTTCGTTCGCTAGAGAAAGAAGAAATGTGTTGCGTGACTGTTCTGATTCTATTAAAATTCTGGAGGGTATTTTAAAACTATAATATGAATATCTATAGCAGCGCTTTTAAAGGCCTTTAGCAGCGCTTTTAAAAGCGCTTTCATAGGGTGTCTTATCAATTCCATATAGCAGCGCTTTATATAAAAAGCGCTTTCTAAGGGTCCCCCTTTAGCAGCGCTTTTGAAAAGCGCTTTCGTAGGCCCCCCCTCTAGTAGCGCTTTTTAAAAGCGCTTTCTTAGGCCCACCATTTAGCAGCGCTTTTTTAAAAGCGCTGTCTTTGGTAGGCGCTTTTTTTCTTTTTTTTTTTACTGGCCCTTTAGCAGCGCTTTTGTATAAAGCGCTGTCTTTCTATGCGCTGCTAAAAGTGATTTCTGGCGTAGTGTAAATATGAGCGATTTGCCATTATATTTTTGGGGTAGAAAAGGGTGTTACATAGCAAGTTTAAGTCCATGGAATTCATTTGTTGCGTTTGACAAGAAAGAATTGATTAATCTAGCTCGATTTTATCTGTCTGAATTTTCTTTAGTAGAGCTTATGGGATTTGGCAGTCAACTTGAAAACTACATCATGAATGTTTGTTCTAGTGAGCAATTTTCTAATTTAAAGGAAATTAGTGATCTTTCAAGAATGATGGTGTAGACTAAAAAACACATTGTTTATCTAATTGTGTACTTACTTTTGAAGTTGACATTACTTTTTTCTGTGACTACAACAACGGTTGAAAGAAATTTCTTAGCTATAAATTTTATGAAGAACCAACTGCGCAATCCTATGAATGATGAAATTTTTAATGATTGCTTTGTAACATACATAAAGAGTGATATATTTGATAGTGTTGAAAATGAAAATATCTTACAACACTTTTAAAATATAAAGACACGTAAAAAACAATTATAATTTTTAAATATCATATTTTATTTTTTAATATTTAACTTTTTAAATATATATTATCATCAACATGCATAAGAATTTATATAACTTTTTTTCAAATATTTATATAATTTGATTGTGATACTTATTAAAATTTATAATCATCATCGTTTCTGCCCATACATTTTCTTCCGTTTTTCCGTTTTGTGTCATGAAAATATTATTCATTATATGCATTTAAAAATATATACTATTAATTTTTCTAAAAACATTAAGAAGCTTGTTACCTTCTTCATCTTCAACTTCAACCTTAATTTATTTAATTCGAACTTGTCCATGGTTAATTGATTAGCATAATGATTATAATACACACGCTTAAACTTCAATTTCGTAGAGAGTATCATGAATGAACTAAAATGTCTCGCACACGTTAAAAGCAACAGTGAGTGTAATAATAGTTAAAAAGATACATTGAATAATATACTAACACATTAATGTCTTCACATGATTAAGATAGAAAGAGAATACATTAACATAAAATTAAGCACTGCATTCATCAGAAATAATAATAATTTTGACATAAAACAAACAAAAAGTAACATTCATATCTAAAACATGATGGGAATTCTTCATTCTCTTGGCTTCTCAATGGTCATGGCTCATATTGTGAGTTGGTTATTTATTTTTATGACCGGGACGTGGGCAATTTTTGACCAATGTTCGTTCCGTTTATACCTTTCTTCTAACAAAGGGCAACGTATGATGATCAGATCCTCAAGAGAGGAAGGGAGGCGGTCTTCTGGCAATGACTCTAGTCTTGGACAATCCCTGAAATAAAGTGTTTTCAGCATGGAGGGAAAGGCTTTTTCTGGCAATGACACAAGCCCTGGAGAATCCGAAATATCAAGGCGTTCTAGAGAGGAGAGGTGTCCAAGTCCATTTCCTTCTAAGGATTTCATTTCAGAGAGACTTTTTATATGTAGAAACACAAGGGAAATTGGCAACAACGGCTCTTTGAGTAACATGTTCACATTATCCTCACCTCCGATTAACATTGATGAACAAACAGTAAGGCCTTGGAGACCCCACTCTGTTACTGGCTTTGTTATTCTCACATAATCAACATGAATAAGTTGTAAATTGGGAGGTAGGAAAGCTCCTTCACATAATGATAAATTCAAATTTGGAAGATTCCTGAGATACATAGTTTCAAGAGAGGTCAGGGTTTCCATCCGTTGAGGTAGTGACCTAAGGGCCTCGCACTCACTGACATAAAAAGATTGGAGGGTTGACGAGCTACAAGAAGAAGTTTCTGAAATAAAAATAGATTCCAAACTTCTACATTCGCGGATGGAAAGATTTTGGAGCATAGGAAAACAGTTCAATGGGAAGGAGGTAAGTGCATTGCAGCTTCTCCATAAATTAAGAGACATAAGTGATGTGTAACTGCTCCACTTTTCAAGAGGTAGGAATGTTAAATTCTCACATTTGTCAATAAGTAGTGATTGCAATGAAGTGAGTAAACCATTTGTTGGAAACACATTGAGAGAATTAATACCATAGAGAGTCAAGTGCCGAAGACAGGTGCTGTTAATAATCATTTTAGGTACAGATTTTAGCATATGACAGTTCCTTATGACTATACCTTGCACAAGACATGGAGAATCACTCTCAAGCAATGAGCATTGGGTTCTTTCAGTTTTGCTTTCTGAATTCAAATCTCCTGTAATATCAAGCTTTTTTATAAAGGAAAGCCAGTGCTGAGAAGGTGGTGTTGCCAAGAGATGATCACAATGATATATTTTAATCTCTTCTATGGAAGGAAGTTGACTAGGCAGATGTCCCCTCAGTTCAGGACACTTAGATAACTCCAGAGTTTTAAGACGGAGAAAAGGAAACACTTCGCCTTGAAAAGGATGCCATTCTTTCCAATTTGACATTTTCTCAATTATAAGCTTCTCAAGGGAAGGAAATGGTTGGAACGAAGAATTGGTACCTCCTGCTGCCATGCCATAGAACTGCTGCCCAATTGTCTCCAAAATTGGCATATTGTGAATCCTCAAAATTTTGAGAGAAGGTAGCTCCCCTAGTGGTGGAAGTGTCATGCAATTCACACAATTACTAATGCTAAGGAACACCATGTTAGAAAACGAAGGATCTCCCAACCAACTTGGAAAACTTGTCCCACCATATGATATAATGCTCAGTTCCTCTAGGTTTGCAGATGGTTGTAACATATCAAGCACATTTCTTTCGTTAAGTGTGTCATCAGTTTCCTCGCCCCACTGTAGCGTCAATTCCTCAATATGTTCTTTGCTCTTCAAGTTGGTAACACTTGCCTCCATGACATCAATGACATTTTGCAGGTTCTTGATGACTACTTTTCCCCGTAGCTTAGGAAACTTCCCAAGCTCTCTAACACTTAAACCAATATTTTTCTTGCCAACTACAAAAACATTTAGAGTTTGAAGGTTTTCCAGTTCAGCAATTTGCTTCGGCATCTCTATTATGCTTGTCCTATCAATATAAAGATGACGCAAATTAATTAATTTTCCAACATGTTCCGGCAATTCTGTAAGACGGAAGCAGCAAGATAAAATCAAGGTTTGCAAGTAGTAGAGGTTGCATATGGTGTCAGGCAAGCTTGCGATATTCGTGTTAGAGAGATTTAGATAGCGCAACTGCACCAAATTGCCAATTGTAACGGGTAGCGAGGTGATGTTTCTATAATTTGATAATGATAACACACGCAACCTTTGAAATGTGGGTAGCAAATAATTGATAGTGTTTCTTGATAAATTATATTCTGGCCATCCAAAGTGAATGGCAAGGAAGCTTCTCAAGCGTTTGAATTTTTCGAAAGTCTGAAACTTCTTGAAAATGTCATATTTTTCTTTATTATATGACAAGTGGCGAACATTTTCATAGCTCTTCGCGCCAAATTCAAGCCTGTAACAACTTTTTCCACATACAGCTGTAGCTAAATCATTAACAAGGTCATGCAAGACAAAAATTTGCCCACGAAAATCATCATGCAATTGTTGAATCAATGATCTGGATAACAATTCAGCAAAACACTCGTCACCTACTTCTTCCATGGTTTTTTTGTCTTGAGAATGATCAAGGAAGCCTTCTGCCATCCACAACAAAACCAATTGCTTCCTATCAAGCGGATAGTCCTTTGGAAAAATAGAGCAATAGGAAAAGCATCGTTTTAATTGAGAGGAAAGATATTGATAACTCAGGCGCAATGCAGGCAGAATAGTATCATTCTCTAAGTTCCAGATGTCATCGTTCAGAACGTCGATCCACTCTTTAGTATCTATTTTCCAACGCAATAGTCCTCCAAGTGTTTTTGCAGCTATCGGCAAACCACCACACTTTCTTGCAATCTTCCTTCCAATTGCTTCTAGGTTTTGCTGTTGAGTTTCAGAAAAGTCTCCACTTCCAAATGCAATTTTGGAGAGTAAAAACCAACTGTCTTCTTCTGACAGAGGATCTAATTCAAAAATAGGAAATGTGCGTGCGGCATCTGCCACTTTTTTGTTGCGTGTTGTGATGATCACTTTGCTTCCAGTTTTTCCATAAATCAACGGAGATACAAGTTCTTCCCAATCACAATGGTTGTGATTCCATAAGTCATCCAACACAATGAAAAATCTCCTACCTTTTAAATTTTTCTTTAACTCAACTCGAAGTAAATCAAGATTATTGGTTTCCCATGGTGTTTTAGTGACAGATTCAAGGAGATTTTTGGTTACTCTAACAACATCAAAATCTTCTGATACACAGGCCCATGCTGTGAGATCAAAGTGCTTTTGAACTTTTTCATCATTGTAAGCAAGTTGTGCAAGTGTTGTTTTTCCGACACCTCCCATGCCAACAATTGCAAGTACGTCCATGCAAGTATTGCTTTCTGATAGCAACATGTTCATCAGTTTCTCTTGGTCATCTTTCCTACCAACCATGACAGATTCATTGAACATAGGAGTTGAAGGTGCTCTATGAGAAACTCTGACACTTTTAGTTTGCAAACTAAGGATATCTTTATTTTCAGCAAAAAGTTTAAGGGTTTCACACATATCTTTCATTTGGGAATTGATCTCACCATAGATATTTTTAAAAGGAGAAGAAAGGATGTTCCAGACCTGTATAGTTTTGCTTGCAGCTTGCGTGTTCTCCATCTTGCATCGAAGGGAATCATAGCTAATATGGTTGAGCAGATCTTCAGCATCGTAGACAGCATCTTTGAAGCCATCAAGCCAATCTTTGACAGAAGGAGTGCTGATCTGCTTCTCCTCAGCAGCATCTAGGAGAGGTTGAAGAGTGAGTAGTGTTAGTCTTATCTGATTCAAAAGTGAGAGATCGAGCTTGGTGTTAGTGATGTAATCAAGAAACTCTTTGGAAGCAAGTTTCTCAACTAATGTTTGAACAGTTGCAGAGAGGAAAGCGGTTCCTATCATAGTTGCAGCCATGTTGTATGCAAAAGTTTGAAGGAAATGGAGATAGCAAAGAGTGAGTATGTGAATAAATGGATAGAAAAGCAAGAGTCGCATGTGAATACTGATTCAATAATTGATGCAAAGTTGAATAAATGGATATTTAACTGGTTTTGTCATTTCTTAGAGCATGATTATCTGTTGTGTTTTGGAGTTCCTATGCAGTTTTTTAAAATATTGTGTCAGGGTTTCCTCAATTAAATGATATGGTCAAACAAACCAACGTTTCTAAACCTTTATTTGGCCTTTTCAATTTTTTTCTTCACAAATGGCCAATGATAAATGAGTTATGAGATATATTGTGAGGTCCAATGGAATCTTTTTTTAAGTTTTTAATGTGTTCTATGAATATGAGAGAGAGAGAGAGAGAGAAAAAATAGAATTTGTGAGAGAAATGACAAATTTGAAATTTATGGTTAGAGATTTTCATTTTTCTCTAATCAAATTTTAGAAAAGTAGTCATTATGAATTCATTAATTCATGAATTTTTTTTTTTACACAAAGTTCGTGAGACATAGTGTTATATTTTCACCATTCTGATTGTGGAAACAAGGTCTGACGAAGGGGATATCTTATTTGTGCGACACCATATTTTTTTAGGATGATCGACTAAGATTTGAAAGAAAATCTAACTTGTATGGACTTCTCCAGTGCCGGACACCAGCATAGAGGCCTTCTATGGTTGAATTTTTTTTTTCCTTAAATGACTCCTTTGTATCCATCTCAACCCTAAGATAAAAATATTTTTTGCACAAGCTCTTTAAAATGCGTGTGACATGTCAGTTTCTAATTTTGCCAAGTTTTATCTCAAAGGTAACTGTCTCTTGATCAAGATATCTGATGAGGCTTATAGAGCAGGACTCGAACCATACAAGAATAACTTATATGGTAGATTGATCACTAAAGGTAACATGTCATTGGAGGCATCAAAATTACGTGACAAACTCATGCAATTGTGGAGTTAAATCACTACTTAAGATTTAACTCTTTTGGGACGTGTCTATTTTGAATTTTCATTCAAATCAAGAGAGGATCTCAACAAATTTTGAATTTTAGGGACATGAATGTTAAGCTTTTGCTCATGCGTTTGTCTATGTGGACACAAAATTTTAGACCTGGAAATTTTAAGATTACGCATGCTCAAGTGTGGTTGAGGATGCATGGTTTGCCCTTAAAATATTGAGGAAAAATACTTTATTTGCAATTGTTTCTAGTATCATCACTCCTATTTCAATTGATGAGCTTATTAGATAAAGAACTTGGGTGAATTTTGCATGTGTGCAAATAGACCTTAACATGTCAGATACTCATCGTAATCGTATTTTGATGGAACAAGAGCATTATGTGTTCTTTGTTGAATTGGAATACGAGAGTTTACCTCTTCAGATTTAATAATAAATGACATAATGCGTTATTTGTTCTTTATTGAGTTGGAATAATGCGTTAATAGTGAATGACATAATCAATGATGACTATGTAGATTTAATAAGGCAAGCAACAATACCCATAAGAATGATATATAGAATGATGACTTTGTTGTGTCCATTCAAGTAGAGAAAGAAGTTAATGCTAATGAAGAGCATTTATCATAAAAAACATCTGAATGAAGAATAAATAGCAGTGTCGCTACTGCGAAAATCGGCGCCGACAATGACAGAAGAGTCGCCACCGTGCGTTATTTATCCCAAAGGAGGAAAAGGAAACGCTCAGGGTAAACCTAACGAAAGAGGGAAAAGGAATGGTCATCGCAACCAAGTCCTGGATTCGGGAGTCGGTTACGCGAGGGGAAGGTATTAGCACCCCTCACGTCCGTCGTACTCGACGGGATCCACGCTTAATTGTTTATCGAAAGGGTTGATTAATACTATCTAGCTAAAGGCTTAAGGACAAAAGAAAAGAAATGACTCGGCAGAACACATCAGTTCTATGCCTACGTATTCCCGTCTGGAACGAGAAATCAGAGTCAACGTAGTTCGCCTAACTACGGGTAAAGAAAGGGGGAAGGTTGCTCGCTAGGATATCGCATCCTATGCCTACGTACTTTCATCGGGAATGAAAAATCAGAGCAACCGTAGTTCAGCTTAACAAGACCACAGGTTGGTTCAACATGTTTTAACCTGAGTAGGGTTAACAAACGGTTCTAGCAGTTTGGTGTATGCAGCTCGACCTTTGGAGACTTAGGAGTTTACCGTTTGCGGTAGAACCGAGAGTTAACAAAACTCTCTTTATGAAAATAGTTTTCAAGGATTAAGGTCCAAGAGGACAAAAAGAAGTTTGAATGTTTGTTTTCGTGTCTTTTAACGGAGAAGTGTTTTGAGTTTCGTTCGTAACTCGTATTGCACTAAAGACTATGACTTATGAGCGAATGCATCGCATGTCACCCAAAGGGTACCACACTAAACATTCAAGTTACGGGAGAGACCTTCAAATAACCCTTTCTCAAGTACTTAAGGCTCGTAGCGTACAACACGCGTTGTCCTTTATTAAGTGTTTTAAAGATGTTTGAAGATGAGAGGAGAAAGGACGCACTAAAGGGAAACTAGTTCAATCCTAAAGTTGTCATGCAAAGTTCATCCTATAGTCAAGGTTATGAGGGAACTACTTATTTTTATCATGCATGGTTGAAAAGCCTAATGTCTATCACATTCTAACTTGAACAAGAAATAATGGAAATCCTAAGGGAAGGAAGGCAAAAGAGGAATAAGAAAACAGTTGTAAGAAAGCATACATGAAATGCAAATATAGAAAGGTAAAAATGCAATGCAAGTGAGGGAGGAAAGCCCATCTCAACCTCAAGCCAATCATGAGATAAGCACAAGAGAATAGGAGAAGGAAATGCTACAAGAATCAAGTCACTAAAAGCATACAAAAGAGATAAAAGAAGTCCTCAAGGATTCACCACTTTAGGCATGCCTTAGAGACCTCCAAAGGAGGGACCTAAAACTTCCTTAAATGATACACCAAGGTCATTGGACAGAGGGTGGCCTATTCTAATCATACAACCTAGGCCACAAATGAATATCAAGAGATAAAGGGTAAGGAATCAAGAGAAACCTATGGATGAAGTACATAAACCACTATTTGGAATCACAATGCACTAGCATGAAAGTATAACATCTAATGGGCAAGTTATGCATAATAAAAACAGCCATCCAATGGTCTACAAGACCTAAAAAATGTACACAATAAGATTTTCATCCATGATGCAAGGAGAATTTGAGATGTCTATGATGGGAAAAATGAACTATTTTCTCAGACTACAGATCAAGCAACTCGAGAATGGAATCTTTATTAATCAATCAAAATACTGCAAATAATTATTAAAGAAATTTGATATGGACAACTGTAAGACTTTATCTACACCTATGGGATCTGGTACATATGTAGATCAAGATGAATTCGGTGTATCGGTTGATATCACAAAATATAGAGGAATGATTAGTTCCTTACTATACTTGACAGCAAACCGCCTTAACATTATGTTTAGCGTATGTCTCTGCGCTTGCTTTCAAGCAAATCCAAAGGAGTCTCACCTGATGGCAGTCAAGAGGATCATGAAGTATCTCAAAGGAACAACAAATGCCGACTTATGGTATCCTAAAGGTAATATATGCAATTTAATTGGATATTCTGACGCAGATTATGCAGCTATAAAACTGATAGAAAGAGTACAAGTGGAACATGTCACATCTTGGGAAATGCATTAGTCTCATGGGCATGTAAGAAGCAAGCATGCGTAGCACCTAGTACGACTGAAGTAGAGTACATAGCAGCGGGAAGTTGTTGTGCATAGATGCTTTGGCTCAAGCAACAACTTCGTGACTACAGACTCGACCTGGGCAGCATTCCTCTTCGCTGTGACAACACCAGTGCAATCAACATAACGAAAAATTCAGTCATGCATTCAAGGACCAAGCACATTGACATACGACATCATTTCTTACGAGATCATGTACTTCAAGGAGATGTCGAGATAACATTTGTAGATACTCATAATCAGCTTGCCGATATCTTCACAAAGCCTTTGGCAAAAGAATCTTTCTACAAAATTTGAAGGGAACTTGGAATACTGGATGAAACTGACGTGGAAACATAAAAGAACTTCATTTGCTGTATTTTCTCAAAATTTCACTGCAAGCAATCGATTGCACCCCTGCAGCAATCGATTGCTCACTGTAAGTTTTACAATTTTATTAATTTTTAAAGCAAGCAATCGATTGCACCTCTGCAACAATCAATTGCACCCTGTAGCTTTTGCCAAAACTTGTTTCTGTTTGGTGAAGCAATCGATTGCACCCACTGAAAAACTATTTTTTCTGTTTCTATTAAATAGATCCATGAATCCACAAACCTACCAACTACCCTCTTTAAGTTTTTTGACCTACCTATGACTAGCCATTATTACTCAGACCTAGTCTCTAGTATTTGACCATAAACTCTCATAGTCCCAAAATCTTAAATACTTACAACCACTCATATCCCACATTTAATTCTATTTACTTTATCAACCATTATAAAACCCCATCTCTCATAACCATTTTTTTCATCTCTCTCAAATACCAAAACTCCCCAAAAAACTATCTCATAAACCCTAGCTCTAATTCTTCCATCTTTTTCAATGGCTTCACGATCAAAGAGGAAAATCTCAACACAAGACAAAGGCAAAGGTCCTGCATCCTCATCTTCACAAGTTCCACTTGTTCTTTAACATTTGGATAATGACCAACGGGAAAAGTTCACCAAGTATTTCCAGAAGAAGGTTGTGCAGACTCCCAAATATGGTATCCTTTCCTCCTTCCCTAAAGAATGCTTTTCCTTCCAAGAAACCTTGATTGCATGTGGATTGGAACCAGTGATCTCCTCATTCGGTCCATATTATCCGGATTTAGTGAGATTATTTTACTGCAACCTACAAAGGAAGAAGGCAAGCTAGTAACCTATGTTCAAGGAAAAAGGATCCCGCTCTTCGCAAAGAC